AGTGGTGTGACTGAGCAATAATAGACAGTGTGTTGCTTGAGAACAAGTTACCTTTAAAAAAATGTGTGTGTGTGTGTGTATGTGGTATGATGTGTATGTGTGGAGGTCAGAGGACAACTTGTGGGTGTGGGTTCTCTCCTACCACCACGTGGGTCTTTTGGAATTGAACTTAGGTCTCATCAGCCTTGGCAGCAAGCCCCCTTACCAACTGATCTATCTCACCAGCCCAAGAAGTTTGTTTTTGACCCCTCAGAATGCCTGGTGCAGAAGTGTACATTAATACATGCTTCTTAGATGAAAGAACATATGAATATACCATGAATGAGCCTTGCTGTTTCGAATATTCAAGTCCTCAATGAACTGTTTTGTGTATTCAGTCTAACATGACTGATAGAACAGTCAGGTTCAGAGGATACAAATGCAACTGGGACCAACCAGGTTCGTCAGCAGCACGGGGGCAAAGATTGCTGCAAGACTGAGAAAAGTACAGAGGACTCAGAAGTTAGAGCTAACCTGGATTCCTATCTTATAATAAAACACTGAAAGAGCATCTGTTACAGAGTGGTAGACCTAACCAACCTATTTTAAGTCGGGGTACTTCAGGGACTATAGTTTTTAATATACTTTTCTTTGGGGGGGGGCACGACATGTTTTCATATAGCCTCAACCTTGTGATCCTTTTGACTTAGGTTCCTGAGTGCCAGGATGAAAGGCAGATACCACCAGGCCTGGATTTTAATATGGTAAATTTTTGTTGAATATAACCAAGTGGCATTAGAGAGCAAAGGAAAATTTGCCAAACACATATTTATGCATTTACATTAAATTTATTTATTTGGCTGAGTTTCATGTAGCCCAGAGTGGCTTCAGACTCTCAAGTGCTAGGATTGCACTCCACCATGCCTGCCTGGCTGCATTCACTTTTTTTTTTTTTTTTTGGTCCTTTTTACAGGGTCTCCCTGTAGCCGCAGCAGGCCTGGAACTCGCTATGTAGATCAGGCTGATTTGAACTCAGAGATCCACCTGCCTCTGCCTCCTGAGTGCTTAAAGGCATGTGCCACCATGCCCAGCTTGCATTCCCTTCTAAAACTAGAATATGCTTTGGTTTAGTCGCCCAAAGGGGGGAGGAAGAAAAGAGGTGGCAAGAAATTAAGTTCAAGTTTACATTTTGACGCTGAGCATGGTGTGCACATGTGATCCTGGTGCTTAGGAAGAGGATCAGGAGTTTGAGGGCAGCCTCAATTACACTAGACTGTGGCTAAAAACCAAGAAAATCCCCAAACTTTGTATTTTGCAATAATAGTAATAACAATAATAAAAAGAGGCTGGGAATGTATGGGGATATAGTTCAGTGGCACTGTGTGCCTAGCACACTCACGGCCCTGGGACCAATGCCTAGTTAAGGAAAAAAAAAGACATCTAGTTATTTTCTGAGTTAATATATAACAATCACTTTTCTAGTTGGTAATTTAGCCTGTGTTAGGGACAAGAAAAAGATGTGTTCTGTATGGACTATTGTACCTTCTGGTCAATATGAATATTTTTTTATTTTTTGTCTTTGGGAGACAGGGTCTCCTGGTAGCCACAGCTGGCCTATATTCACTATGTAGACCAGGCCTCTGCCTCCCAAGTGCTGGGATTAAAGGTGTGCCACCACACCCGGTGAAATTCTTTCCTTTAATAAAATAAACTTATATCAGTGGTGGGTTTTTTGTTTTTAGTGGTTTTCTGGGTGAACCCTGGGCCTTACATGCGGGCAAATGTTCTACTACTGAGCTACACCCCCAGACCATTTTTTTAAAAAAAGAGAACAGATTTCGAAACAGCTACTTAAACTGTCTATAGCTAGAATAAATTCTGCTTAAATCATTACAGCATGGAACTGTATCGCTCAAAAAGACACAATCCTGACATACAGCATGACTTTGAACTGCTGTCACATTCTCATTGAACACAGTGGAAGATGTAGCTTAAAAATGTCTCAGGTGGACTGCTATTGGCTTTTGGACAGAATGAAGAATGTCAAACTAATTCTAGATTACCAGGCAAATGAGGGCAAAGAGAAGGAACGATGGAGGGCCTTGGAGTCTTCCTCTATCTACAGCAAGAGAAAAAGAAAAATCAGAACTGTAATGCCAGTGAGATTCCTAAACTCATACAATACCTGGTGCATATACTTGACAGATATCTGAACAACTTAAAGTCTATACAAATTTGGTTCTCTTTTTATTTAGTTTTTTTGCTTTTTGAGACAGGGTCTCATCTAGTCCAGGCTGGCTTTGAATTAGCCATACAGCTGACTCCTGCCTCCAGTTCTCAAATATTGGGATTTTTGTCATCACTATTGTTTTGAGACTGTGTCTTGCTGTATAGCCTTGGCTGGCCTGGTAAACCTGGCAAGCATCTCAGGTATTGGGACTACAGGTGTGTACTACCACACCTGGCTTAAAATCCCAAATTAATGAAGTCTCTTTTTATTACATGGATATTATGATCTGTCCAGAGCAATGTGCTGAGACTGAAATGATCTGGCATTTGACCTCCTCATTAGGGACTAGGCTCTGTTTTTAGATTTTATTTGTGTGTGCGCGTGCACGTCTGCGGAGGCCAAAAGAAGGTGTCGGATCCCTTGGAGCTAGAGTTCCAGGCATTTGTGAACCACCTGATCTAGGTGCTGGGATACAAACTCTGGTCCTCATGATGGCACAGAAAATGCTCTTAACTGCTGAGCCAATCTTCCAGCTTTTGCTTTCTTAAAAGCCATTCCATTCATGGCACCTAGAGCTGCTGGCAGTCAGCTGGGAATGGAAACTGAGTGTTTGGACAGTTTAAATAGAATGTACAAGGCCAGGCATGGTGGCACATGCCTTTAATCCCAGCTCTGGGGAGGCAGAGGCAAGTAGATCTCTGTGAGTTCAAGGCCAGCCTGGTCTACATAGTGAATTCCAGGCCAGCTGGGGTTGTAGGGAGACCCTGCCTCAAAAAAAAAAAAAAAAGTATATACAGTTAATAGCTTGTAACCAGTGAAAATTATGAGAATACCACACAACTTAGGTGTCCAAGAAAAGACACAAGCAGAGAAAGTGCTAGAGTCTACAGGTCTTCCCTGAAAGTTTCAAAAATGTTTAACTTTTAGCAGGTAGAGCTTTTAATAGAAATTGCATAGCAGCTTAGAGGGTAACTTGCATTAAAAAAAAAAAAAAACATGGATAGATTCCTCCATGCTTTGGAAAACAAACAAACATATCCACATGCATTTAAACAAGAAGACTGAATTTCTCACAAAATTTTTTAAAATCCTTAACTTCCCCCCATCAAAATCACTCACAGTAAAACCTTGCTTTTTTCTTGTGGAGGAGAGGGAACACAGATAATCTTGTCCAGATTCCACATAGCTTAATTTTTTTGTTTTTAAAGAATAAATTTTGGTTTATCAGCTAAGTGCATTTAATCAGTTGAAAAGGCTTTGTTAGCATTCTGCTCAGAAAGATGAGTTAGGAAAACAACAGGTAACAATGTAGTCTTTTGCTGACTAGATTCTTCTACATATAAAAAAATAAATAAATTCAGTCTCTCCTACCATGCAAATAATTTCCAGAAACAAAGTTTATGGATGGGGGGGGGGGAAGGGAAGAAAAACAGGCACTATCAGACTTCCTGTAGCCTAAAAAGTGCTAAACATGGCTTCAAAATAGGCAGGTGGCATTTTAAAGTAGTAATTTTGATTGCCCGTATATGCCCACTATTTAACCTAAAATTGTCTACAACTAGGTGAGTTTACAGTTGTAATTATCTAATAAATACAGTATACACGTTTGTGTATTTCTTCATAAAAAATAGATGCTGATTTTGAGGAAATGCTTGTTTGGTAACATCAAGTTCTTTTATTCCTTTCTTTTTTATGGGGAGAAACGACAGAAATTTCAGGGAAAGAGGAGGAAGCTTTCCACAAGAAGCTTAGAGACTGTGAGTGAGGACACCTAGGCTGGGCACAGGGAGGCCCATCTGAATGTCGTTTCCTTTCTACTCCACACTTGGGAGCCCACTACATCCTCTATGATGTTCAGGAAATAGAAATGAAAATTTCACTGGTTCTATAAAAGAGGTGAGTTATCAAAGATGCCCATGTTTAGTTATCAGTTGAAAATAATTTGCCATATGTTGGCATTTAAGTAGAAAATGGATATATATTTTGTATACATCAAGGTGTCCCACACTCATAAAAAGCACTTCACTTAACAGTTTGAAAAATCCCCCCCACACAACCGACCACTGTGTTGGGAGGCAGCTGAAGTTCATAACAAGCAGCTTAGGGCTCTTGTCTTGGGGCTCTGAGTAGACACAGAAATCTCTCCTAAGCTTTTATTTCACACCAAGACCTAAATGATAGTATTAAAAACCCTGTGGGCCTCTGTGCTCACACAAAATCAGGCAAAACGCACACATGCCTCACCTGTCGGCACTGTAGTCACACCTACTTTACAGATCTAAGGGGCAGGGGCTCAGAAGCTCTGGTCAATCTTCTTGGTTGGTTTAGCCTTTCCCATTAACATAGGAGACTTCAGCTTTACTGCTGAAATCTGAACATGTCACTCAACTTCCCGTCTTAGTAAGAAGAATGTCAACTCTCTTATCTGAGGTTATTTGTTGTAATTTTGCTTCCAGATATTGAAGATGGACCTTCAACACTTTTTTTTTTCTTTTTTTTTTTTTTTTTTTTTTTTTTTCTTTTTTTTTTTTTTTTGTCTTTTTGAGCCAGGTTCTCTTTGTAGCCCCATTGGTCCTGGAACTCACTATGTAGATCAGGCTGGCCTCAGACTCACAAAGATCCACCTGCCTCTGCCTCCCAAGTGCTGGGATTAAAGGCATGTGCCACCATGCCCAGCCTCAAAACATTTTTTTTAAACTAAACTGAAAATGTATCTTGGATGAACCAATGTTAGGTTTATAAAGCATAAAAAGTTCTTGAAAGATGTTCTTCTTTAGATTTCAATTTCCAGTTTTAAGTGGATCCCAAAATTCCTTTTTTTTTTTTTTGTGCTTCAACACTTATTTGCAGCTGGAGGAAGGACAGATATCCCTCCCCAGCCTCCGTATATGGTTAGTCTGACTGGGGAGAAGAAGGAAGCCTGACAGGCATGAGGACAGTGGGGTTATTGCATCTGCCTGGGCATCTGCTCTTTTCTCTGGCCAACCTGTCAGTCAGGACAGTCAAGCTGAACAGCTCAGATTCTGCATGGACAGTTGTTTTTCCTTTTCGACCCCAGGATTTGAAGCACCGCCCATTGCAGTGCCCTCACATAGACTCCAGATAAAATTAGAGAATGAGAACTATTTCTAGACATTTTTTTTCATAAAGAACATCTGAGTTAACATTTCCTTTTGTTCAGATTCAAGGATTGTGCTACTCTTGATGATTTACGTAGATATACTATTTCAAATGTTTTCTGACATATATACTTTCTTCAAAAATTAGGCAAAACAAGCTGAATGTGATTCTCCAGGACCACAAAATCAGAACTCTTACTGCTGCAGTGACCTTATGACAGCTGGCCGTGTGAACAAAACACAGTTGTCATGGTCTCATGATCCTGCCCACTACAGGGTGTATTGGGAAGCCAATGTTGAACCTTGAGCTGTCAGTGACTTGCCCCTACTTTAGGGCCACAAAAGAGGAGAGCCAGGACCAGGATCCTGTCTGGGTTCATGGTGCTCAACAAGACTTGACATGGTGCTGTGTGTGCTGCAAAGCTAACCACCCACAAAGTCTCCTCTTCAAGTAAGGGGCTCTTCTTTATCTTTCCTAAAGAGATCCATCCGCTAGATGTCATTAAAGAGCTCACCTCCAGGACAGCTTCTCAATGCTAGATGGTATCCCTGGAATGGCAGTGAGATCCAGTCTTCAGAGTGGCTAATAAAGCGCCACTGACCCTAACCAAAGGCACATTTGGTAAGCAAGAAAAATGGCTTAGTTCAAAATGAGGACTTTTTTTTTTTTTTTCCAAAATAAACCTTAGATCATCCCCTGGCTCCTACTAAATTCATTAAAACTTAAAATAAACAAAACTCTTCCTTGAAAGCAGTGGTTTCCAACTTGGTCACCACTAGAAAGGGAATGAAAGGCAAGGCAAATAAAATTTTATGAGCTCTGAGTCCCACAGTTAGCACTTATGAATGGCAAAGCTGGTGCTAGAGGGCGGGTAGTGATGGGCAGTGGGGTCAGTGTAGCAGGGCGATGGAGGAAGGCTTTGGTGATGCAGTGCAGGGACTCCCAAGGGCAGAAGGAGCAGGTGAAAACAGCAAGCCCTATCCGGAAAGCACAAGGACTGGGTTGCTGCACATAGCACCTGGGGAGGGACAGTCACCCTAAGTAAGAGATCAAGGCTAGCCCCAAATAATCCTATAGGAAGACAAGCAGAAACCTTTCTGGCTATTTGGTTATGTCCAAAAAGAAAACCAAAGAGCCGTCCTTTCTAACGGGAAATGAACCTAATTACTTAGAGTCACATTATGAAATGAGGCAATAAACCAACAGCTTCAATTTGGAGCTTATCAGAGTTCTGGCATTTCTGGTCAAGGTAACGTGGGAGAGGTCAGCTCTTCTTTAAACCCTGTTATGTTCGGCATGATCTGCAGGTCCTCGGCAAGGCACTATGCAGGAGGAGAGCAAAGAGCTTTCTTCTTGTGCTTCTTTTTTGTTGCTGCTTTTGTGTCCTCAAGGTGGAAATACTTCTTGTGACAGTCAAAGCTCTTGAATTTTTTGCTGCTCATACAAGCAGTCCCATGCGAGTGACTTTGGCAGACAAGAACGTGTGCAACACAAATACAATAGGCTTTGGACAGGAGTGCAGGTCCATAGTCTGTGAAAAAAGGACATTAATAATAACTATAACAAGCCGGGCATGGTGGCGCATGCCTTTAATTCTGGCACTTGGGAGGCAGAGGCAGGTGGATTTCTGCGAGTTCAAGCTAGCCAGAACAAGACATTTGTCCTAAGGGAAAAAGCAAAGGGCAGGAAAGCTTTTGGAAAGGTTTCTTTGCAAGGCTACTTAGACAGATTGTTAAAAACCAAATGAAGGGCCAGGCATGGTGGCGCACACCTTTGACCCCAACACTTGGGAGGCAGAGACAGGCAGATCTCTGTGAGTTCAAGGCCAGTCTTGTCTACATAGTGAGTTCCAGGCCAGCTGGGGCTACAAGGAGACCCTGTCTCAAAAAGACACAAAACAAACAAACAAACAAACAAAGAAAAACCAAAAAAACAAATGAAGGCCAGGTGTGGTGGTGCGTGCCTTTAATCCTAGCACTTGGGAGGTAGAGGCAGGCAGATCTCTGTGAGTTCGAGGCCAGTCTGGTCTACATAGCGAGTTCCAGGCCAGCTGGGGCTACAGGGAGAACTTGTCTCAAAAAAAAACAAAAAAACAAAAACCATACATAAATAAATAAATAAAATAAATCACTATAACTTATAACACCTTAATAAACAAAGATATTAAATAAATTTAGACCGAATGACCTACTTTTTTTTTTAAGGCAACCTCATGTGACTGGGGCTAGCCTCCACTACATAGGTGTGAATATCCTTGAACTTCTGATCTGCCTGTCTTGATCGCCTAAGTGCTGAGACTGCAGGCCATGTACCACCATGCCTGGTTTTATTCCATTCTGGGGATCAAAACCAAGGCTTCATGGTGCTAGGCAAGCACTCTATCAGCTGAGCTACATTCCCATGCCTTTTTTTATTGGGGGGGCGGTGTTGAAACAGGTTTTGCTATGTAGCCTTGGCTTATCTGGAACTATGAAGAACAGGCTGGCCTCACTCCCATACCTTAAAAATTTTTTCTTTAATTACATCTGTTTATTGGGCATGTGTGTGTGTGTGAATGTGTGTGTGTGTGTGCAAAGGTGTCAGAAGACAGCCTGCGGAAGTCAGTTCTCTCCTTCTACCATGTGGGTCCTAGGGATCCACCATAGGTCAGCAGGCTGGTGGCAAGCCCTTACCTATTGTCATCTTGCCAGCTCTCTCATGCTGGCATGGTTCTAAGACAAAGTCTTGCTATATTGTCCAGGCTGGTATTCACTATGGAGCCTAGACCAGACTTCAGTTTGTGATCCTCTTGCTTCAGCCTTGTGATGTTCTACTTTTTTTGGTCTCTTTTGAGACAGGGTCTCTCTGTAGCCCCCAGCTGGCCTGGAACTCACTATGTAGACCAGGCTGGCTTGGAACTCACAGAGATCTGCCTGCCTCTGCCTCCCAAGTGCTGGGATTAAAGGTATATGATACCACACCTGGCTTTATTTTTTCTTTTAAAGATTTTTATTTATTTTAATGTGTGTGTGTGAGTCAGGTGTCCATAGAGGCTAGAGGTGTCAGGTTCCCCTGGAGCTAAAGGTTTGAGGACTCATGCCCTCTAGAAGAGCATTACTCCCTCTTAACCACTGAGCCATCTCTCCAGTCTTTTTTTTTTTTTTTTTTAAAGACAGGGTCTTCTTACTATATATATAGCCCTGGTCTGGAATTCTATAGAGACCAGGCTGGCCTCAGACTCAGTGCTAGGATTAAAGGCGTGCACCACTGTACCTGGTGTTAACTGAGGGTTTTTTTGTGTTTTTTTTTTTGTGGGGGGGGGTCTTTTTTGAGACAGGGTCTCCCTGTAGCCCCAGCTGTCCTGGAACTCACTACGTAGACCAGGCTGGCCTTGAACTCACAGAGATCTGCCTGCCTCTGCCTCCTGAGTGCTGGGATTAAAGGCATGTACCACCATGCCCGGTGTACTGAGCTTTTTGAAAGAAAAATACAGGGGGGTTAGGTTGTCTCAGTTGGTAGTGTTCTTGCATAGTATCTATGAGGCTTGTGTTCCACACCCAGAACCACATAAAATTAGGTGTGGTGGCATATGCCTATATCAGCACTTGGGAGATTGAGACAGGCAGATCAGGCGTTCAAGGTCAGCCATAGCTATGCAGTAAGTTCCAGGGCAGCCTGGGATACATAAGACTAACTCTACCTAGCATGCAGAGGCCTTGACTTCAATCTCCAGGACAAAGGAAAACCAACCAACCAACCAGAAGCAATAGGAAAGACAGAGTCTACCTATTAGTGTAAACGTGTTCATGGTTTTTAGACAAGCGGGGGCTGGCTTAGGGTGGTATGGCTGTAGTTGTGTTCATAGTTTTCAGAAACACTCTTACCAGTTCTCCCTCAGGACCACCAAAATCCAGATAGAGATTTCTGATGCCATCGTCAGCAGACATCTTCAGCCGTTCAAAGGGATAGCGGTATAATACACTGCTGGAGCCTCCATTGTCCCTGGAGATAGTGAACCCATTTTCATAGTGGACAGTGAATCTTACCTCTTGGCCACTTAAAGTGCAGCCTGTCAAACACAAGAAAAATGGATGCATTAGAAAGATCCTACTTTAGTTATAAGTGGAAAAGGATTCTTCTGGTTTCAACAAAGAAAAACAATCTTTCCTTGACAATATATAAGGTCTAAGCTCCTTGGAACTTCCTAAAATTAAATTTTTAAAGATTCATTTTATAATTAATTAATTAACTAGCTAATTAATAATTGATTGATTTTTGAGGCAGGTTCCCATGAATTCCAGGTTGGCCTGTAATTATGTAACCCGATGTGGTGGTTTGAATGAGAAATGTCCCCCATACTATTTGAATACTTGGTTCCAGTTGGTGGCACTGTTTGTGGAGGTTTAGGAGGTGTGGCCTTGTTGGAAGATGTAATGGTGGTGTTTTCTGAGAAGATGTGAACATCAGCTTTTGGTACCAGCCATCTCTGCCACTATGCCTCCCAGTCATGATGGACTCTTATCCCTCTGGAACTATAAGACAAAAAAACTCTTCTTTCTCTAAGTTGCCTTGGCCATGGTGTTTTATCACAGCAACAGAAAATATACCTAGGATTATCTTGAACTCCTGATCTTCTTTGTCTGTGTTTCCTGAGTACTGGAATTATAGGCATGAGCTTTAGCTGGCCTGTTACTTACTACGTAGAACAGGTTGGCCTTGACCTAAGTTACAGGTGGTTGTGAGCTATCTGATGTGGGTGCTGGGGAATGAACTCCGGTTCTCAGCAAGAGCAGTTCATGCTCTCTTAATCACTAAGGCACCTCTCCAGACTACTAAAATGAATTTTACTTTGGCCTAAGTCAGCATCTTGAGGTGAGGTTGAAGTTACCCTAACTCTCTTTAACCTCTGACTCAGTTCAAATGGATACTAACTGTGCAGACACGCTTGAGCTGGCAAGTACTGCTGTATGTAGTAAAGGAGAGCCAAAGAGTCACAGTCTGTGTGCTTAAGGACTTCATAAATCTGTAGGCACAAGCATACAGACCTAACTGTACATGGTGGAATGTATAGAACATGGCTACTTAGAACCTGAATTAAGTCCAAAGTCAAGAAAAGTTTTCTTAGAAGAGATGAGAATTCAGACAGGCTCTAAAGAATAGATAAAATCCGACAGGCAGATTCAACTGGGCGAAAACAAGCACAGGAGCAAAGGCAGAGATGCCCTTCAGGAGCTGTGACATGCTTTGGTTGGTGTTTAGAAAGGAGACAATGTTTATCAAAGGCAAACACTATGCTCAGTAAGAGTCCAATAGTTAATGCTTTGTGTGTATGGGGTGGGGGTGGCTAGGGTGTCTCCCTGGAGCCCCAGCTGGCCTGAAACTCACTAAGTAGATCTCACAGAGATCTGCCTGTCTTTGCTGCCTGAGTACTAGGATTAAAGGCATGTGCCACCATAATCCAGAAGTAGTTAATGCTTTTAAAGATAATACTCAAAGAGTGGTGGCACTGCACAACTTGAATCCCAGCACTCCAGAGGCAGATGGTTCTCTGTGAGTTTGAGGCTAGCCAGGGTTACATTAAAACCACACCTGTCCCAAAAAGCCAAAAAAAAAAGAAAAAAGATAACACTCAAAGGGTACATCTGGTGCTGGAGCTCATCTAGCAGGCATGAGGCCCTAGGTTTAATCTTCAGTACAACACAACACAAAACAAACAGCCCCCCCGCCCCCCCCAAAAAACCAACAAAGAAGGGCTGGTGAGATGTCTCAGTAGGAGATGTCTCCAAGCTTGTTTGGTTTCTGGAACCCATATAGTGAAAGAAGAGGACCAACTGTAGCAAGATGCCCTCTGATCACCATATAAAACACACACACACACACACACACACACACACACACACACACCAAAATAAATGTGTGAATTTTTTTTTTTTTTTGTCTTTTTGAGACAGGGTCTCCCTATAGCCCCAGCTGGCCTGGAACTCACTATGTAGACGAGGCTAGCCTTGAACTCACAGAGATCCACCTGCCTCTCTCTGCCTCTCAAGTGCTGGGACTAAAGGTGTCCGCCACCATGCCCAGCTAAATGTGTTATTTTTAAAATACAAAGATACATCTACATTGACAGAAATATAAAAACTTTGATCACTGGGCATGGGAGGCATGTGTCTGTCTACATTCCTGGCACTTAACTAAGAGGGTGAGGATCAACAGTCTGGGCTCAGAGTAACACCTAGGATCTGAGCCGATCATTTGCTTGGTCATTTTAGTAAGAAAGAACGGCTCTTGAAAAAGCAAGTAATCATATCCAACCAATGCATTCTTTCACTGAATATGCAAAACTTTCAATCAGTTAAGGTAGCTGTGTGTTTAGGGAGACAGAAGAACAGATAAATACTGGTGGTGTCCCTCTGGACACTAATTCAAAGAAGTGAGTTTTGGACAATAGACTTTGAGTATTATTACCCTCAGAAAAGGAACCTAGTGGGTAAATGTGGATAAAATTAGCTACCTCTAGAAATAATCCAATGCAATATCTCTAGATGAATGGCTGGGGGTGGGTTGGAGGAACAGCCATACTCTAACCAAAGCAAGTAGGATATAGTCCTAACATCTCCAAAGCCAGAGTGTAGTGAAGGGGGCTGAGGTCTAAAGAGGAGAGGGTCAGTTCAAATCTAGGAAACAAAAGCTTGAAAGGCAAGCATCACCCAAGTTGGTGTGGTCCTGGCTAGAGAAGGTCAGTGTAGGCAGTAACTGGCTGCTGGGGTGTTACAAATGGAGTGAGATCAGGCAGTCACCGTTGGGCAAGGCAAGCCATCAACCCCACATCAAGCTTGTGTTAAGAGAGTTCTCTTGGGCTTTTCCCCACTTAGTGCTGGGAATCAAACCCAGGGCCTTGCCCATCCTAGGCAACCACTGAGCTACATTCCCAGGCTTTGAGATTTCTCTCAAGTTCAATTTTGAACTGTGCTGACTCAGGAGGGAAGGAAAAGAAAGCACACATGTATGTGACAAGAGTTAACTTTGAAAAACCATCTCATTCATGGTTACGTCAACCTTGAAAAGGAAAGATCATACTGAATGTTTAGGTCTAGCTATTGGGCATTACTTGTTTATTTTTATGTGGTGTGTATATGCACATGCCACGGTGCATATGTGGAAGCCAGAGGACAACCTGAGGGATTCGGTTCTACCATGTAGGTCCCAGGGATTGAACTCAAGATTGTTTGGCTTGGTGGCAAGAACTCTCACCTGCTGAGCTATCCTATTGGCTGTTTTTTTTGTTGTTGTTGGTTTTTTTTTTTTTGATTTTTTGAGCTCTGCTCATGTAGTTCAGGTTGGCTGATATGTACTCAAAGATAACCTTGAATTTCTGACCCTCCTATGTCCACACATCTCAAGTGCTGTGCTAGCTTTGATCAAGCAACCCGACACAACCTAGAGTCATCTGAGGGAGTCTCAGTTGTGACTTGCCTAGATCACACTGGCCTATGGCCATGCCTGTGAGGGATTGTCTCCAATGATGATTGATACATGGCCAAGGCCTACTCCACTATGGGTAGCACCATCCCTAGGAAGATGGGGACTGAGCTGTATAAGAAAGCTAGCTGAGCATGAACCTGGGAGTGAGCCCTAGAGCAGGTTCCTCCATGGTTCCTAGAGCAGTGTTCCTACATGGTCCCTGCCCTGACTTCTATCAGTGATGGAATGTGACCTGGAAGTGTAAGCCAAATAAATCCTTTCTTCCCATGCTGCTTTTGGACAGAGTGTTTTATCACAGCAACAGAAAGGAAGCTAGAACCTGCCAGAATTATAGTCATGCACCACCACGCCTGGCTTATGTGGTGCTAGGAACTGAAGAAGGTCTTCCTGTGTACCAGGCAAGCATTCTACCAAATTCCTAAACCAAATTTCTTAGCAACATGTCTGTGTATGTATTACTTGACCCTGGGCTTGAGCTCAGGGCCTCATGCACAGTAGTAAAATATTGTACCACCACGTGCTACACACTTCAGCCACCATTAACCTTTTTGTTTCCTGTTTGCTTCATTTTTTTTGAGACAGGGTCTCCCTGTAGCCCCAGTTGGCCTTGGAACTTGCTATGTAGATCAGGCTGCCTCTGCTGAGATTAAAGGTATACACCTCCAAGCCCAGTCTCATCATTAACCTTTTAAAGCATTTTTTTTTAAATTTTTATGTGTACGAGTGCTTTGCCTGCATGTTTATAAGTGCACCACATGCATTCAATGCCCATAGAGGCCAGAAGTAGGTGTTGGATCCTCTGGAACTGGATGGTTGTTAGCTATCATGTGGGTGCTGGGAACCAAACCCAGGTCCCCTGGAAGAGCAGTCAGTACTCTTAACTGAGTCATCTCTCCAGCCCCTACCTTTTAAAATGTTCAAATCTTTCATAGTTTCTCTCCTCTCTCCTTTGTCTATAGTAAAACCCCTCAGCCTTCTGCAATCTGCATCTGCCATTGCACCATTAAGTCTTTCTCCCCAAGGGCACCAATTATTTCCAAGGGGCTAAATCCAACCTACTTCTTCAATCTTACTAGATATCCATGCTAACTGTTAGCTTCTACCCTCCTATTTCCCCACTCTTCCTTTAGAGGAATTGAGGTTTCTACCCTGTCTTCATGTCTGTGAATTATAACTGCTTCTAAAGCAAGGCTTTCCAAAGGGGAGTGTTTGGTGCAGAGTGAACATAGAGACTAAACTAGTTCAAGCAGAATAAAAAGAACTGTAACTGGGAAAAGAAGACTGTGCTCCCTTCCGCTCCCATGTACACACATGCTTGCTCATGTTTCTTTAATATGTGATCTAAGATGGGTGTGGTAGTACATATCTATAATCCTAGTACTTAGAAGGCAGAGGGAGAAGGATCAGGAGTTGACGGCCATCATAGCAAGTTCAAGGCCAGCCTGGTCTTTAAAAAAAAGGGGAAAAAAAACTTGCCTCAAAACACAAAACAAAACTGAATTTAATCTAAAACCTCTATGGGACTGGGGAGTTGGCTAAGTTGGTAAAGAGTTTGCAGCACAAGAATGAGGACCTGAATTAGAGCCC